GAACACTGTAATCAACACAGTTTGCAAAGATATCTTGGCTTGGTAGACTAGCAAGGACTTGGGATGGGTCCAGGGTAGCATGGCCTATGCCAGTAAGAAGACCATAGCACTTGCCTGTGGGTGGCTTTGGAAGTTAGAAGATATGAGAGGAATTTAGGCAGTAAAATCTGAAAGGCCCAGTAGTACATGGGTGTAGAGAATGGGGGAGTGAGTGTTGGAGTCTGGGTGATCCGATAGTAGAGGGGGCAGGGAAGGAAGTTGGGGGAGGCCATGGGTTTGAGAGCATCTTAGGCACGGGCTTCCTATGAGAAGTTCCAGAGGCGATGGCAAATGACTGGGCAGAAGTTGATGCATCATTTGCTGTGGATGTGGATGAAATGAGCCGAGGAGAAAGCAAGACCAGGACTCCAGCCCCAATGGACCAGCCTGGAGGAGCAATGTGCAGCGGAGGCCACAAGGGGTAACCAGATAGGTAACCAGTCTTTGGTTCTTCAAGACAGGGTGTCATTGTATAGTCCTGGCTGCCCTGGAACTGGGCAAGTTAACCTTGAACTCTCAGCGATCTGCCTGCTTCTGCCTCCCATATGCTGCGATTAAATGCAGGAACCACCACTGCGTGACACTTTTTTTTTAAAAAAAGGATTTATTTATTTTTATTTTATATACATTGGTGATTTTTCTGCGTACATGTCTGTGAGAAGAGGCTAGATCTTGTGAGCTGCCATGGGGGTGCTGGGAATTGAACCCAGGTCCCCTGAAAGAGCACCATCTCTTCAGCCCGGGAATTGTTCTTTAAGGCACTGTGCCCCTTGCTTTTAGAGACAAAGTCTTTCACTGGCCTGAAGCTTATGGTGTAGGCTGGCTGGCCAGCAAGACTCAGAGATCTGTGCTTGTCTCTGGCTCTCAGTGCTGGAGTTCCAGATCTGTGCTACAATGCCTGGTTTGGTTTTTGTTTTGTTTTTAATGTGCGTTTTGGAGATCAAACTCATCTCCTTGCACTTGAATAGCAGTCAAGCATTTTACTGAGCTCCCTCCCAAGCCTCTGGTGGAGGCTTCTCATGATTCCAAGCAGTGTTAGTCCAGACTGAGATGGGTTGAAGTGAGAGGCGCTACAGTGTGAATGTGCCCCGCCCACTTCAGTATACAGACTGGTAAAAATAAAAACTATGATTCTGTTAAATATACACATATGTTTCCTTTTTAGTATTAGTTTTTTGAGATCTGGTTTCCCTATTTAGCCCTGGCTGTCCTGAAACTCCATAGGTAGACAAGGCTGGCCTTGAACTCACAGAGACCCACCTGCCTCTGAGACCTCCCAAGTCCTGGGACCCAAGGTATGGACTACCACACCCTAAGATGACTTCAAACAATAGTAACTCTGAATGACCAAGATAAGAAGGAGATGGAGTAACAGAGTCACAGCCACCCCAGCCCCAACCCTTGCATGCTCTCTTGATGAAAGGGAGAGGCAAGGCTAATTACTCCGCGCAGGACCCTGGGAGTGAGTGACCTCCTCGGGAGCAGGAGGAAGGTTGTGTGGGAGAAGTTGGTTGCTTGATATTGGGAGCTGATGAAACATCCTTGCCCCAGAGGCTGTTATGCTCTCCAGCCAGGAGACAAAGACTTTGCTGAGTGCTGAGGATGCGCTGAGACTGGAGGCGTCAGGAGAACATCAAAGGCTTTGAAATGATTATGGGGAGGGGAGAAGTTGACCTTGGAAATGAGAGGATTATCAAGGCTGAAGATGTTTCGTGGCTGGAGCCCAGGGTTTCACCAGCCCGCCCTGTTCCTACTCCCTTAGCATCTAATGTCTAACGCTGTCCTGGGGACATAACTGCCATTAGAATCTTAACAGAGCAGCTGTGGCTACTTGCAAGGACCCTCAAGACTGAGCCTGTTGGCATTCCTTCACAGAAGAGGGGAACGGGGACCCTCACCTGAGATTCCCACTGCTCCTTTCTAGAGCTTCCTCCCAGATGTAGATGACTCTGCCCAAGCTACACATGGTTATGAGGTCTCTGGAGGTGCAAGGTACAAACCACTGAAGGGTAACTGAAGGGGATGCTTGTCCGGGCAGCTCTGGGAAAGCCATCATCTGTACTGCGGTGAGACCTTTTGATGGTGTGGCTGCACTGGGATCCTGACACTTTGTAAGTGAGCCTACTAAATGAATCGGTTCACCAGACTGTGCTTCAGTGGAATCATACTTTGGCCTGTTGGTGGTTTAACTGGGGCGTCTTAGTCAGGGTTCTACTGCTGTGAACAGACACCATGACCAAGGCAACTCTTATAAGGACAACATTTAATTGGAGCTGGCTTACAGGTTCAGAGGTTCAGTCCATTATCATCAAGGTGGGAACATGGCAGCATCCAGGCAGGCATGATGCAGGAGGAGCTGAGAGGTCTACATCTTCATCTGAAGGCCGCTAGCAGAATACTGACTTCCAGGCAGCTAAGATAAGGGTCTTAAAGCCCACAGTGACACACCTACTCCAACAAGGCCACAACCTCTAAATAGTGCCACTCTCTAGGCCAAGCATATACAAACCATCACATGGGGTGAGCAGATGTTTGTGCCTCCCCAGGAAAAGATCATGTAACAGTTGCCAGCTGCTTAGGCACAGACACAGAGCACACATGTGGCTGGCTTTACCCTGTGATAAGAAACGAAGGAATGCTGGGTCTTATCGAGATTTAAAAAAGAGAGATTTGAGATTGAATCTCAGTATATAGCCCAGTCTGGCCTCAAAGTCATGATCCTTCTGACTTAGCTTCTCAAGTGCTAGGGTTACAGATGTCTGTCACTGCACTCAACACAAAATATTGTCGACTGGAGAACTGTGGGCCAACGGAGGGAAGCGGAGATAGGACAGGATAAGCCAAACTAGACCATAAAAGAAGGCCGTGGTTGATGAGAAGAGTGAGCGGGGGAACCGCTAAGTTACAGGCGCGGTGGTGTTGGTGGCATTGGTATGGGGTATTGTCTGGTCTGAAGGTGGAGTGGTGTCATGTGCTAAATATGGACTTGGTTGTGGGTGACGGCTGAGAGGAGCAGAGGTGAGGCTGTTGGGAACAGGACGCCCAAGGAAGTAGAGAATTCTACACCGAATGACCAACACACATTTAAAGGTGAACTTTAAGCCTTGACCGTGTGAATCTCCTGCCCCCGCTGCTTCAGCATTTCCTGCTGGCATCCGCTATCACAGTCAGCCACTCAGAGACTTAGGAGGTCAGGGTACAGCCAGGTCACCATCTGCGTGGTTGGTGATGTCATTGGGGAGGATTGCAGAAGGAACAAGGTGGGGGAAGTCTGCAAGTTGGGAGCCAAAGTCAGTGATAAATGACAGGCAGGACCTATGAGTTCAGTAACAACACCGTGAATGAGTGGAGAGGGTCCAAGAAGAGAAACAGGGCTAGAGGCCAAGGTCACCTCCTGGTGTCTACTACGTCAGCCTGGGAGGCAAATAGACCAGTGGTCCCAGGGACAGGAGAGGAAGCCAAGGCTCAGAAGGACAAGCAGTGTCCTAACTCACAGACAGTGGGTGCAGTCACCCAGGTAGTGGGGCTCTGCCCCTGAATCTCACTCTCCATCTCTCAAGGATGGAGGGAACGGACTCAAAACTGATGCTGTCTTCCTCCATCACGGTTGTTAGCTGCCATTGCTGCAGCGAGTGGCTCACCTCTTTCCTCCCTCTGCTCTTCCCAAGCCCTAGAGGAGAGGGAGCAAGCACGAGGAGAAAACAAACAGGAAGGGATCATGGGGACTGGCAGTTGACAGGGCACAGACCCCATCAGTCACCTTGATTGGGCTATAGCATGCTTTGACCCCGTAGCCGCCTCACGAAGCAGGCACAGCTGGCCCCTGTTCAGAAGAGGATGCTGAGGGTGCAGGGGGTGCGGAGAGTGAGCTGAAGGTTCTACCTTGTAACTTCCCTTGTGGCTGTGGGTGTTAGGATGTGTGGGCAAGCCAATGGAGTCAAAAGAGATGGATGCTGGGCTTCTGTTGTGGGGTTTCTAGGGACCAGCTTGTAGTTTAATAATAAAGATGCAGAGGCATCTATCTAGTTTATACTATATAGAAAGCAGGTAATGGGCCATAGAAACGACAATACCAAACATCCTGCCAGCACTTGGTGCTGCCTGCACAGCAAATAACAATTGAAAACATAGGGGCATGCCTATAGAGCCATTCGATACAATATGTGTGGTATAGGTCCCAGCATGTCCAGCCCGGCCAGAGAGTGATGCCAAAGTCATATATATGTTAGGGTTTGGGTGAGATATAGACTCTTCTAAAGCAAAGGCAGGGGTAGGGGTCCACAGACGGCAGCAGACCTGGGCCTCAGGGGTCCCAGCACCCTGTCTCCCCAACACAGCCTCATTCCTGGAATCCATCCTTGCTGCTTGCCAGTGTGTACAGCACACCTCCACCATCTGGCCAGCAGTATATGCAAATGTGAACAGAAAGTGTGAGTAGTTTCACCAGGAGAGAGACACCAAGCAACATGTGTTCACTCCTAGCTGTGGAAGAGAGGGAACCGCAGAGGAAGATGGGCTGCCAAATGGGCAAGTAGCCCAGCAAAGGCAAAGTCTTTTATTTATTTTTTAAATAAAAAAAAAATCAATCTATGTGAATGAGTCTTTCGCCTGCATGTAACTATGTACATCACATGCATGCAGCGCCAGAAGCCAGAAGAGGGCTTCGAATCTCCGGGAACTGAAACTAGAGGGCTGTGAGGGTGCAAGGGTGCTGGGAACGGAACCCAGGCCTTCTACAAGAGGAGGAAGTGTTCTTAAGTGCTGAGCCATCTTTCCAGCTAGACAATGTATCTTTTTGCTCCTTCTGTCTCCACCTTAACAGAGCACCTGGCAGCAGAGTGCTGGACATGATCGCCCTCTGGACTGGATACTGGGCACCGCCCCTAAGCAGACTGTTGAGGATCTGGAAGTGACGTGAGTCAGAATCCTGAGACCAAGTCTAGATGACCATCAAAACCTCCTGAGAAGCTGCACGGGAGAAGCTCCAGTGTGACCTGAAGCCCTTGCCGGACTTTGACCGGGAAAGCTGGGCCAGGTGCTCTTGTGCAGCCCAGCAAGGCAGAGCAGAGGTCTGAGAAGTATGTCAGGGAGGAACCTGGCCTTGGGTCCGTGTGAAGGAGCGTGGATGCCTGGGGATGTGTGAGTACCCTGAGACCCTCGATGATCACATTGAGGCTGGTGCATAGAGCCTAGGAGGCTTCCCAGGTGAAAGAGAATGAGCTGACCGAGGGCCTTCCAGCGATCCAGTTGATTCTCTCTGTCTTGACTCAGCTCATTGGCCTCTGCCATTTCCACTGTTGGGGAGGGCGTAGTTCAGACAGGCCCGCTTTGCCTTGGACCTTCTGGCATCCTGGATCATGGGACAGAGAGCATTCAAAACTCTTATCAGGCCATCTCCCAGGCCCTTAGTACAGGGGTCTAATTCTTCTCATAGAAACTCTCCGTGATGCCATTTCTAGGACCAAGCTGTATCACGTCACCTCGAGGTCAAGGTCAAGGAAGTATTGCAGGTCAGGGGCAGAGGAGAGGATTTTGCTGACCCGCTTTCTGCCCATGGGGCAGAGTGGATGTGAGAACCATGCAGGAGAAGCATAAATCTAGCTGATTCCAGCCTTCCCCTCTGTGTCCTGAGGCCTTGGTCAGTATGGCCAGGACAGGGGGCGGGCCTTGGACAGCCAGGGAATCTCTCCAGAGACAGTGAGTGATGTCAAGGACTGGTCTCAACCTGGTTCTAATGCCATCCATCTCCGTGGTAATGAGAGACTGATGTTAGGATGGGGACTGTGGTGGCCTGGGGACACTGGAATGGAGGAAGGAAGTACAAGTGGCATCAAAAGTCTGGTTTGTGAAAGGGACAGGATTCACCCCTGGCTGTCAGCATGTAATGTGACAGCTGGCCAGGGAAGTTAGTAGAGGAGAGGGGACTCTTGGGAGTCAAACATCTCTGGGCTAGCCAGCCCTCTTTCTGTTCACAAATAGCAAATGGATGCACAGCAGAAAGACATGAAAATGTACATGGCTTCCTCCCTGTTCCCCCCTCCCTGTGCCCCTCCTCCAACCACCTGCTTTATTTCTCATCCTTGCAAGGACCCAGCTGGCTCTTCAGAAATTTTTAATCATATAGGGATGCTGAACTCAGCAGAGATGAGCAACAAGGGCCTTGAGAGAGAAAGGCCCAGGATATAGTTGAATAGCCACCCAGGGTTTGCCTTGTGTGGGTGGATATAAGGACCGATTACTCAGAGCCTCAGGCAAGGTGTTGTGACTGGGACAAAACCTTGGGACTGAGATGGAGGTGGGGGTGGAGAGAACCAGATGTTCTAGTCTATTCATGGTGGGGACCTTGGTGGTGCAGGGATCATTGGGACCTTGAAGCAGTGACCAGCAGAAACCAAAGGTAAAGCCTCAGGAACTACAGGGGTTGGGGGGAGGAAAGGGTTTGTAAGGGAGCAAAGAAGTGGTCGGGGAGCCTGGTGGAAGGTTCTGAAACAAAGTGCATCATTCAGTGTAATGGAGCCTGACACTGCCTCTGACACATGCGAGACAGAAACACAGACTCTTTCCAGTCTCCACTGGGGATGTTTGGTGCTGAAGAAGCTGAGGGGCCAGTTTACAGAGCAGCATGTGGCAGAAAGTGATTAACGTCTGGAGAGAGGCCAGTGGGTGCTGCAGGGTAAATGTGAGCTGAGCTTCACCAAGTGGGAGCATGGCTAGGGAAAGAAGAGACTGCTCTAATTAAACAAACAAACAAACAAACAAACAAACAAACAAACAAGAAAGGTAGTCGAGAACTGGTCCCAAGGACATGAGACTGGGAGGCTACCCCTGCCCCTGCACTGGCTATAGCATTCAAGAGAGCAGGCCCTGCACCTAACCTGGGCAACACGGTGGAGACCGAGCTCCGCCCCTTTCAGGCTGCATTTGGAAGTATGGGTCCCCGCACCTTTGCAGGGCTGCACAGAGGAGCTGTCTTTGGAGGTGTGGGTTCCAGTGAGCTGGTCTGAGAACGTGTAAGAGTAGGAGAGCTGATCCTGCTTCCAGCCGATGGTGGCATTGGGTGGCCTAGCTGGAGCAGTGCTGGAGAGCTCGCCCTGGTGGTGCAGATAAGGGAAAGCCTGAACCATGACCAGCTCAGCTACCAGCCAGGCCCAGATCCAGGGCTTTGAGCTGGTATCAACTAGTAACAGTTGGGATGCATGAAAGAGTTGGTCCTGCTCATTCAAAGCTGCAGGGTCTCCATGACACAGGGCAACAACAGGATAACCTGGGGAGTTCTGATGAGGAGCCAATATTGATGGTGTCACAGAAGCCAGAAACCTCAAACCAGACCAATGACTCATTGGAAAAAAAAAACATTTGCAAGTGAAGATGTACGGACGGAGGGATATACTGTGGGACACACTGAAACACACTACAGCTTCCATGATGAGATATTTTCTGTGCTTTGTTAGGTCTTCTTTATTTTGTTTGTGTGTTTTTTATCTGGGGGATGAAGTTGTAAGGGTGAAGGGTGGATACGAAGGCACGAGGAGATGAGTGGGGCTGGACTGCATGATGTGAAACTCACAAAGAATCAATTAAAATGTTTTTTTATAAAAGCATTTATGGGGGCTGGAGAGATGGCTCAGCGGTTAAGAGCACTGACTGCTCTTCCAGAGGTCCTGAGTTCAAATCCCAGCAACCACATGGTGGCTCACAACCATCCGTAATGGGATTGGATGCCCTCTTCTGGTGTGTGTGAAGACAGCTACAGTGTACTCATCAATAAAATAAATAAATAAATATTAAAAAAAAAAAAGCATTTATGATAAACCCCAGCATTTTCCAGTCCTGTCCATACTCCCAGTTCTGCTCCCCAAGGATCACTGCTGCTCCAAGACGCACCCCTCCCTGGCTGTTCTGCTGCTCCAAGACGCACCCCTCCCTGGCATTCTGCTGCTCTAGTTGATCATGGAGCACCCATACTCCTGAATGTTACCGTGTGCATCCTGTCCCTTCTCAATGTCAATTTTCATGATTTTTAATTACCTATCACAGTAGAAGAAGTTTTCTCTCATATTCCACCCTCCAGGTTTTGATGAAACACACCCGTGTATGTGTGTGTGTGTGTGTTTGTGTGTGTGTGTGTTGTGTCTTTTTGTTCATTTGTTTTTTTGAGACAGAGTCTCTCTATGTATTACTGGCCGTGCTGGAGCTCACTATAGCAACCAGAATGGCCTTGAACTCAGAGAGGTCTGTCATCCTCTGCCTCCTGAATGTTGGGATAAAAGATATATACCACCTTTCTGGGTAAATGTGCTTGTACGTTTGTTTCTATGTATTATGGTTATCTCTGTGGTGTATGCTTTTCCTTAAATCCACCACTGATGCCCCCTTAGGGTTTTCCACGATCCTGTAAACTCTGCCCAGATGTTCCAAAGCCCTTTCTATTTGGTCCCACCCCCTGGCATCTGGACACCAGTCTCACAGGCTTCTCTTTGCTGCTGTCCTCCATCGTTTGGGCACTTGCATTTCCACCCTTGCCTAAACACAGGCTCTCAGAGCTTCTTGAAAAGTGGTCAGAGAAATAAGCATTTCTGAACCTGGTGGGTCAAATATCTCCACACTGCACTCACTCTAAGTAGTTTGGTTACAAACTGAATTCCAGATTGAAGTTTGTCTTCTGGAGGCAGAGGTTGTTCTAATTAGTTTGTTTTGATAGAAAAGTCTGACTCCTGATTCTCTTATGACAGTTTTCATCCCTGGTGACTGTCTTTGCCCTTCCTTAAACCTAGCCAAGGCCATCCTCTGCCTGTGAGGCTGGAGGTGAGGAGCAGGCTTGGAACAAGAGTGGGGTCGAGGTGTGTCCAAACCCCGGAAATTCTTCCTCAGATCGGCAGGCATAGAATCACCACCACCCTTCCCTGCCTTGGGCCTGCACATCACAGCACACATAGACCTGAGCCCTGACCTTTGTAGCAGATTGGAAGATCTTTTCTCACATCCAGTAGCTCCTGCCTCGATGCCACCGGTCTGATCCTAAGAGATCATGACCGAAAGGGAGGGGAAGCAGATCCAGGACAACACATGGCGCATAACCTGGATGATCTCCCAGCTTCTCTTCCAGACGTCTTCCCAGTGTCATTGTGTGTCTTTCCTTTGTCCTTTCTCTTCCCAGAACTAAGGATTTGACAACTTCTGCTTTTCTAAGATTTTTATATTTTATCTTTTGGTTTCTTTTTGTTCATCTGCTTAGCGTTCCTTAACTGTATGTTTCAATTTTTTTCTTAGTTTTGCTGTTAAGTATTGAACTTTCCAAGTTTTTGCTCTGCCTCTTCCTATTTTTAGTGCATCTTCTACTTTTTTGTAGATGCAAATTTTTTCTCTTATCTCTCCCCAGTAAGATATTACTTATAGAATGATTTTAAATACTGTCTTTGAGATGAAAGGCTCATTGCACAAAAATGAAAATATTCTCAATACTACTGAACTACCCCTCACCGGCAGTTACCATGGTAAATCTCATGCTTTAGCTATACATTAAACATGTCCAGTGGGCAGGGGTGATGCACCCCTTTAATCCCAGCATTCAGGAGGCAGAGGCAGGCAGATTTCTGAGTTCAAGGTTACGCTGGCTTACAAAGTTAGTTCCAGGAAAGCCAGGGTTATGCAGAGAGACCCTATCACACACAGAGAAAAATCCTCTACACTTTCTGCAACATCTATTTTCTCTGTTTGCTTTGGTCTTCGGGCTTTCTTGGATCTCTCATGCTGCCTTGCTGTCTACTCAGAGTTAAGAGCCAGATAGAAGGGCCTGGAACCCTGAGGAAGCTTCACTTCTTCCAGGAAGGGTTCCAAGCTAGCAGGACAGACTGGGTGTGTTGGATGGGGGAAGCAGGCAGAGTACTACACTTAGGAAGCCTAACAGCTATACATGGAATTTTCTGCCAATCCTTCTGTTTGGGGACCAAGCTTCATCTATACCTAGCACTTCGCATCTAGAGACAAGGTTCTTTGGGTGAGTCAGAAGTTCAAACTGGTTTTGTGGTTGCAGCTTCCTTTGCTCTGCTGTTTCCTACCGTACCCCATACAGATTCCATCCTTTACATCTTGGCGTTATTTCTCTCCTTTTTAAGATTTGTTGTAATTACCTTAATTACTTATGTGGGAGGTGGGGGTTGGGTGTGAGTATGACTTGGCTTACCAGTGGGGTTCTAAGGTCAGCATGTGGGAGTCAGTTCTCTCCTTTCTACCATGTAGGTAGGTCTCGAGGATCAAACTCGGGTTGTTAGATTTGGCAGCAAGTGCCTTTGTCCACGGAGCCACTGAGCTGGCTCTGTTTGTTAAATCACATTATTCATTTATATCCCTTCTTGAATCTTCTTTCTCTCCTTGGGAGTGATGGTGATTAATCTTTACTGTCAACTTGACCAGATTTTGAATCACCATGGAAACACACTTCTCTGTGTCTATGAGGACATTTCCAGAGAGTCTTAACTGAGAAGCTAAGGCTTACTATGAATGCGAATGTGAGTGGCACTGTTCCATGGGTCCCATACTGAATACACAGGAGGAAGTGAGCTGCTGGGACCAGCTGCTGCGTGTCCTTGCCACCGTGCCTTTCCAGCCTTTGAAGACTGTCTTATCTCAAACCGTGAGCCAAAATGCACCCTTGTTGCTTCAGGTGTGTCTTGTCATCTGTTAATACTACACAAGCAAAGTAGCTAAGGCTTCCTCCTTTGCTGACTTTTGTGAGGACTGAGTAGCCAGCAGGCAGAAGTGGCTCAAAGGTCTTGCTTTTTAACCTCTTGTGAGGTAACATGTTTAGGGAATAGTTGCAGACTGCATTGGACTTGTATCACAGAAACTACAAGAAAGTACAACCTAAGAAGATGACTGTGTGACTGCTTGACATGTCCTAGTCCCCTTCAACAAGAGGAGTCCCAGCCCCACCCTAAGTATCCAACTTTGACCACAGCAAGGAACCATGTTGGGCTCTGCTATCTTGGAAGAGGAAAGACGGGAACAGAGCCAGGCAGGGAGGAGTACACTAGCTCTTTGGACTTGATGCCCTCGGCCTTCTTATGACCACATCAGGGTCCAGGCAAGCTGCTGACAGAGAGAGGAGGCAGACAGGGCAAAGGCAGGTCTGTGTTGTCATTGGCTCCTGGATCTGCATCTTAAGACAAATCCGTGGGCAGAGTGGTGGCATGGGAGGGTGCTGCTTCCAAGGGTGGGGGCTAAAGAAGGAGGGACTGTAGGAAGATGACCTCATCTACTGTTAGAAAGTTGACATGTGGGACTGTGTCTTCCTCTTGCCTCTTCACCTTTCCTGGACCATCTTGTGGGCACGTTTCCCCTCCTTCTCTGAGCCCGTTTCCTATTCTATACAATGGAGCTTACTCTGCCTATCTCCTATCCATGCCGTTGTGAGGATGAAATGTACAACCCTGTGCTTGTTCATCATTGTTTGTCAACATATCAAGAGGGTACCAGAGGCCAAAATCTCCATGTTCTGATAGGTCGTATACTACCTCTGGCCACTGTGTTTCTTTCTTCAGGGATGAGAGAGGGGCGGAGCCTGGGGCAGACTCATTCCCCCCAGTAATGGATGTCTTTGTCCTCTAGGCCCCTTACCCCCAGGCACTTTAGGTTTGAGAACCCCTGTGCATCACTGCCTTCAAGTCTTTGGGCTATGGAGATGATTCTTGGAACCCCTGGGGGTGCATATATTCTCTCAGCTTCCTCTTGCTCTTGACTTCCCTTCAATCTAAAGAGTAGGTTGAAGGCAAGATCGGAGACACAGTGTGGTGGTTTGTTAGGAATGGCCCCATAGACTCATGTGCTTGAATGCTTGGCCATAGGGAGTGGCATTATTAGGAGGTATGGTCTTATTGGAGGAGGTGTGGCCTTCTCGGAGGAAGTCTGTCACTGTGGAGGTGGGCTTTATGGTCTTCTGTGCTCAAACTCTCCACCTGGCTGCCTTTGGATCAAGATGTAGACCTCTCTGCTCCTCCAGCACCATGTCTGTCTGCACGCTGCCTTGCTTCCCACCATGATGATAACGGACTGAAGCTCTGAAACTGTAAGCCAGCCCCAATGAACTGTTTCCCTTTATAAGAGAACATGGTGTCTCTTCATAGCAATAAAACCCTAACTAAGGCATACATGAAGCCAAAGAGCCCTTGTGTCCTATAGAGACCCTATTCTTTCCAGAGACATGGAGCCAAGAACAGGGAAACCCAGAGTCTTGCAGGCAACAGTTTAGGATTATGTGGGGATGTAGGATCAGCTCCCCTTAACTATTTACTGCAGCGGACCTCTAGGTCAGTTCTGACAGACAACTAGGGATGTAGTTGGTTGTACTGAGAGTGAGTGAGGCCTCAAACATGATCAGGGGCCTGCACCACACCCAAGTTCACACAGGCACAGGCACACGTACCATTTCTCTCATCTACTCGTTTCACACAGAGGAGCCTGCTTCTCCTAGCAGAGAACACGTCCCCTAAAGTGGCAACCTTCCTCTCAGTTTCAACAACCGAAGGACTGTCATTAGGCTGAGGGCAGATTCAGAGAGTCACTGTCTCTCCTTACCTACAGGTTTCATCAGAGAAAGGGTTGGCTCTGGGATCTGTGAGAAGAGAACATTCCCGGGAGGAAGTGTTGACTCTATTCCTTTCTTGGAGGTACAACAATGTGCCCATGCTATTGGGGTGTCCTTTCCAATGTCAACAGGATCACACTGCTGCCACAACATGCTTCAACCCCAGCTCACAGCAGATCCTGGAGGGCAGCTTCAAGGATAAAGATGGGGATGCGGGCAGGTTGTCTCATTCCCATGACAGCCGATTGTGTTGCTATAGCAACATAGCTCTGCCTCCATCCCTTTGTAGCCCTGTTTTCTGGAGTGGGCAGAACACTATGATTATTCACAACACAGGGATGAGGAGACCTTGTCATCCCTGGGGAGGTGAACTAGGGAACTCTAAGGCTGTCAGCTCAGGCTGAGGCATCTTGTGGTCAGGAGGGTAGATTTCCTGGGGTTTCCTAATGACAAGCTCTACTTTTTTTTTTCTACCCAAATTTCTCCTCCCCAGCTATCGGGTTCCCAGGAGTTGACTCAGATTGGAAGTCTTCCATCTTAAAAGAGGCTTGAAGGCGCAGCTGTGACTGGGGGTGAAGAGACTGGGGGGTGAAGAGACTGGGGGGTGAAGAGACTGGGGGTGAAGCTCATTGATTGACTTGAACTCCATGAGTCATTTATCTTTCATGACCTTGTCATTCCACTATCAAGATGGGGGGAAGACATGGTCTGGGATGATTAAAAGAGCAGTAAACATTTTCCCTGGGAGAGATGGGTATTATAGATGACCCATGCCCAGGAGCCAGGCAGCCCTATGGAAACCTGATGGTGGACTCAGATTAATTCTCTGTGAACAGGGCAGCGACTGGCACCATCTTCCAGATCATTCTGTCCCAACTGCCCGATGTGTGGAAATTGACGGGAAGGAACGTAATGAGTCTGTGTCCTACTCCGCAGCCAAAGTGTGCAGCAAAACTTCTACCAGGAAAGAAGGCAAGTCTCAGAACTAGGAGGCCCACTTCAGAACTTGATCTTAGGGTTGGCAGTGGTGGAGCAGGCCTTTAATCCCAGAAGATTAATCCGAGAGGCAGGGGCAGGCAGATCTCTGTGAGTTCAAAGCCAGCCTGCTCTAGTACCAGACCAGCCAGAGTTACATAGTGAAACCCTGTCTGAAAACAAACAGACACCTCCACCATTCTAATAAACATGTATTTTTTTTTAAAAAAGATAATCTTGCTGAAGCATCCAAGTGGCACCCAGTTTGGGGACCTCTTTAGGTTTTAAAGTTTCCAGTAACTCATTTAAAAAAGTAAGTTTAAAGATTTTATTTTTAATTAATGTATGTGTGTCTGTCTGTCTGGGGGTGTGTGCATATGAGTGTAGGTGCCCAAGAATCCAGAAGAGGGCTTTGGATCCCCTGGAACTGGAGTTACAGCTGGCTGTGTACTCCTGGGTTTGGGGGGGGGGGCAGTTCTTCCTCTAGAATTGCTGCAAGTACTCTTAATGGCCGAGTCATTTCTCCAGCCCTTTAATTTTTTATTTTGCATTTTAAAGCATTGAGCTGCAACAGACTGGGCAACATCCGGGACCTTCCATAAGTAGTAGTTTAAAAAGCACCGACTTTGGCACCAAAGACATCTTGAAATCAGGTAAGAGGCAACTGAGGGAGAAGAGGACCTCTTCCATCTGCACTGCTCGCAGAAGTCAGAGGAAGAATCACACAGGGTAAGACGACAGCATTGCTTTTATTTCACAAGTCTAGAAGCACCCTGCCTTGGCCTCTGCTGATGGGGTGGGCTGCAACCCATCTGCAGCCCTGCACTCAGCCCTGAGCTGCCCGCTCAGCCTGCCTCCTGCCATAGCGCAGGCCGAAGGAGTTCCAGTTGTAGGCTGACAGGTCCTTCTCGCGCTGCACCAGCACCGATCCGCGGGGCGCAGGGATCAGGCGACTGCGGGCGGCACACAGGGGCCGCTGGTGCCCGGTGGTGCTCTCCACCGGCGAGCATGGTGAGGTTCTTCGAGCACGCAGCCCTGCACCCCCGGGCTTGCTCTCTGCATATCGCAGGCCCTTTTCCCAGGCATTAACCAGTTCTTGGGGTCCGGACCACTGGCCTAGGACAGAGAGCACAGACAATTGAGGCTGGGACAGCAAGGCTTGCTTTGGACACTGGCTCAAATTTCTCTCCCCATCCAATGCTGGCCCTGGGTCCTCAACCTCAGAAGTTCAGCTCTGACCTCAGGCTGGGCTGTTTGCTCCTCCCTCTTTAGATAGCTTTGCTTTCAAGTGCTTGCCAGAATTCTAAATAAGTTTATAAAACTACTTCCTTTGAGGAAGCGAACAGTTTGGAGAAGAAAAAGGGGAGGGATATAGGGGTGACTCGCTCTGGCCTTCTTCTGGGCAATCTGCCTGATTCCTCTGTTGAGTGTCTGTGTCTGGGATCCGAGTGGTCCAGCAGCGCCTGGTGATTCATTCTTCCATCTCTAAGAATGCTTGAAACAGTACCCCTCGAACACTGTGTGGCCTTAATATGTGCTCCTTAAGTAAAAGCTAATGAAAAGCTTGGAGTAACAGAAATCAACAAAAAAGGTGGAGCCAGGCCGTTGTGCCCCCGTGTACCTGTGACCTGACTCCCGATCTCTGAGGACAACAGCAAACGCTAATACACAGTATCAAGACTCAGTGATGACCAGACATTACCTACATTGCTTTAACAGGCACACCTTCCCTGGGCCAGGTGCAAAGCCTTCCCTTTTCGTTGGAGGCTAAGAAGGCTCAGTCTGAAAACACTTCACAGACAGCAAGGTTCATTAAAGTCTCCCTTTCTTTCTTTCTTTCTTTCTTTCTTTCTTTCTTTCTTTCTTTCTTTCTTTCCCTCTGTTTTTTTTTCTTTTTTTTTTTTTCAGTAAAGCAGGGCAAGTAGCTCTGAGCACACAATAGTCTAGTCAATTATGGTAAGAGATTAGTAAAAAAGAAGTCTGATGTGAGGGTGTGAGTGGGTGTTGGGCCAAGGATGGCATTGAGCTTGGCTCCTCCGTACCCTGGCACACTTTCAAGATGAGTGTGGCCGTGGTCCAAGGTGAATAATAATAGTCTGGGAGGCCCCTCCCACCTTCTCTGGGTAACTGGTGTGGGAGAGAAGATCTCAGCTCCACATACAAACATCAGCCCGAGATAACCTGTGTGGCCAGCAAGGGCCAGTAGCCAGTGTTTCTGGATGGTGATGAGGTTGTTCCCAGCCCTGGGATGATGACGCTAGAGGAGAGTGTCTGGGACCCTGCTCCTGTTGCTTGTGTACAATGGTGTCAAATTTGCAGGATGTGTCTTGCATTCCATGCCTGAGATCTGAGGTCCAGAAAGGCTAAGCAAGCTCTAATATGTACAGAAATCAAACAGCCAAGGAGAGTTCAAACTCATGCCCTGACTCAGAAGCCATGATGTTTTTGGGGGTACCCTGGCACCTGCTGGGATTTGTCAGTACTTGGCTGAGTACCTTTGGGGAGCACTTTCCCTCTTTGGGCTTTAGTTTCTCCAACTCATCAATCCCCCTTCTCTCCCCCCCCCCCTGCCCCGTGAACCTGTGAGGGCGACAGACATTAAGGCTGGCCTGGACCAGGCTGGCCTCAAACTCACAGAGATCTACCTGCCTCTACCTTCCAAGTGCTGGGATTAAAGGCTTGTGCCACCATGCCCTGGCTGTGTTGAGGTTTTGGGTTTTGTTTTCAAGCCCCCTTTAGGGATCTGAGGTCACAGTTAAATGCTCCTTCCCAGCATCCATAGAGAGAAGCACTTGGGATAAAGCAGAAAGCACAGTGGGAGAAAATCACAAAGGGGTTGGAGTTAACAGCCCCCACCCCCAGCTGAGCCTCCAGTGCTCACAGCAGAAGGGCCTGGGCTAGCCCCAGGTATCTCTCAAGTGTGATAATTGAACTCATGTCAGGACCCTGGCTACAGTCTAAAAATACACGAAGTCTCATGTGACTCTCTTGCCCTCTTTTCCTGGATGCTGTGTACCTGTGGGTCCAGGGTTCACAACAGGTGCCACCTTTGCCAGCCGCTCCCCAAAGGTGGCAACACAGAGGAGAAGCAGCAGCTGCCAAGAAGCCAATGAGATCATTCTGGGAGAAAGAGGAAGGTCCACAGTATATCCAGAGGCTGAGGGCAGAGAGAGAGAATGGAGACCAGGTCAGAGTTAGTACTTCGCCAGAGCCTAGGTCAAAGAGAGAGACTGGGGAAGAAGAGAAAGTCCGGTGACCAGAGATGACCAGAAGAATGAGTCCCAAGCAAGGCCACAGTGAACAGGACTGGGGGATGGAGGAAGGGAGGAAAATAGGAAGGGTCTGATTTGGTGGGAAGGGGTGAGAAACTTAGGCTGGACGATGGTGAGGTTCTGGATGGTAGGTTTGCTGGGGAGGGGTGCTGAAGGAGAGTAAGTGTCATGCATGGGAGAGGTCAGGGAAGGGGAGGTAGGTGAGGTCAGGCAGGAGGTTACGCTGAAGTTTAACTGTTCTCTTGGGAGCCTGGCCTGGAGCCAAGCCTTTGTGCTGGGTCCTGTGCTCTGCTCTCCCGCGTGGTTCCCTGCCTTCCTCAATCTGGCCCTGTCCCCTGGGCTATAATAGAAACCCAGTTTCTTATCTCTTCCAGGAAGAAAGGAAGAAAGAGGCAATCATCTTGCACATTCTCAAAGCCCTCTGCAGCCTTGGAGACCATCATCAAATTGTCTTATTGCCTGTAATTCAGGACAGGAAAAGCCTTTCTCTCATCCAGGCCATCGGCTGCTTCTATTCTCGCGGGCTCCGGGCGACTGTGAACTAAATTGGCCTCATCAGTTTGACTGCTGAGATAGTAGCCGCGTGGCCTGACCCTCATCTAGCCACTCGACCTTTCTCCTCTCCTGCTCCCCACTCTGCTCCACATCTCCAGCTCCCAAGTCCAGTTTCCCTTGAAAACATCATCAAGCACTTTGAAACTGTCCCACAAATGGCATTAAGTGCCCTGGGGGCTGGTGGCACAACAGGTGGAACCTAGGGCTTCTGTCCAAGGACAGGAGCGAGGAGTATCCTTGTGACCCACGGGAGGTGTGGCTTCTCAGCACCGTGCATCCCACCACGGTGTCCCCACTCCTATCCCTGCCACCTGACTCTAGACTAACACATGAATCCTGAAGGCTCCAGCTCGGCCCTCATCCCAGGAGACATAAGCAGGCCACACCCATCTCCAGGCACCGTTGCTCAGCCTGGCCACCAGCTTCCTATTCAGATGACTACTAAGACTAGCAGACTAATGGTTCTGCAATACCCCCAAAGCCAGACACTTTCTGTAGAAGCCCTAAGTCGTGAATAGAAAATACAATAGAAACCAAAACCAGTAGACAGTCTTGGTTATAAGGATCAGGGATTGGAATCATTGCTGGAAAGTATCTACATACTAGTATCGTGTAGGTGCTGGGGTGCTGAGGATGAAGGGTCCCCCTGATCTCAAGATCTCAAGTCTAGTGTGACAAGTAGACTCATAGGCAGCTTATATAAGTAGATCATTCCAAAATAACAGCAGACACATGTTAAAATGCTGCTGATGGCAGCTGGGGAGCCCGACCTGGAGGGTCCAGGCTGGTGGTGGCACCTGAGCCTGTGTGCCAGGTGGAGAGGGCTCTTAGAGGCCACCGACCTCAGGGGATCTGCCTGGACTGATGCCAGGGGGCTGGGTGTGGAGGTGGCAGGATACAATAGAGCTTCATATGGAGAGAAAGCCATCCCAGGTTATATCCCAAGGGGGTCTGAGGAGGGCAGGATGTGTCAGCATGCTCTGTAAATGGTACCTCCTGGTTTCTCTAAACAGAGAAGGTGGTGCGGGAGGAAGAGGAGGGGAGGTTGGGAGGTGATGATTCTGACTTCTGCCTCTCTCATCACTCTAGTACTCTGCCCTATCATGAACAGCACTTCTCGAGTGTACCATGGGTGAATTCTGCCTGCTCCCAACACACCCTTACCCCACATATACACACATACCACATACTAGCACACTGCATATAGTGATATGACATACGCTGGTGAGATGGCTCAGCAGATAAACGTCCTTGCTACCACGCTTGACAGTCTGAGTTTAACCCCTTGGACCCACATGTTGGGAGGAGAAAAACCAACTCCCCAAAGTTGTCCTCTGACTCCCACAGGTGCTCTGTGCTCACACACATGCACAGAAAAATAAATTATAAATAAACAATTGTCATAACATATGAAACACAAACTTCCTCACATACATACCACACAAATCCCACAAGCGACACACATGCCACACGTACAGATGCCCCAGATCCAGTAACTCCCAGTTGCTTATTCCAGAGAGCACTCGATACATGAGAATTGAACAGTTTGAAAATAAAAAAGAACACCTCCATCACCCACTCCCACTACATAAGAAATCAGAAGAGGCTTATCTGGTTTGCCATGGACAATCTTTGGGGTTCCTTTCACCCTAGAGGCTTTTAGATCTTGTAAACAACAGAGACATTCTAGGCATGGTCAGAAGGTTTTTGAAATAAGGTGGCTCCTTCCAGGGGTATTCGTCTACCCTCGGTTTTTAGCAAGTTGCTCTCAGCATATGTATGTAGTTAGTTTTGTATTGAGGGAAAGGCTCAGTTATCTGAGGGGCTCCCCCGGCTCCCTTCAGGCAGTACCACAAAGAGATTCTTCACTACATTCACTCCTTATGCAGCAGAAGTGGGCTCTGAGAATACCCAGTGACTTGTCTTTACACCAAGACACAAGCCAACATCTTCACCCAGACATTTCCTGATGCCAGGTTCCCTTGCCTTCTGCTGTCTTGATGTTTCAGTTGGCCTTGAGTGGAAGGCCTGCTCCTCCAGACCCTCCATGGGTCAGGGCAGTCCCAAGTCCTGTGAGCAGTGTCCCTACCTTGGCTGGGTCCTGGCTTGAGGGCTGGAGGGAGAAGAGCCACTTGGGTAGTTGGAACACGGAGGGGAGCCACTGGCTCCTGAGCTTACTCTATCTGGCTCTCTGATCACAGCCCCTTTTATGAAGTCTGGATGGGTGACGTCTCCAAGCATAATCCCACCTCTGCCCTCCCAGACCCTCCTCAGGGCTCCACGCCCTGCCTCTGGCTTCCGCCTCCTGGCTCTCAAGTCTGAAGCCAGCCACTTTCTCGCCCCCAGAAACCATCCAAGGCTGCTCTCATAAGCTCAGTGACTCTTCCATCATCTCTAGCCTCTTGACACCCCCTCTCGCAGCTGGAGACTCATTCTACCCCAAACAATGAAGAGAAAGTGGCTGAGGAGTGTGTATATGTGAAATGTCTTGCCCTTCTCTGCCAACACACACACACACACACACACACACACACACACACACACACTGAAGTGAATTTGATGACGACACAGGCTGGAGGAGGAGGAGCAAGGCACAATCTGACCCAGAAGCTCATCAGTGCCCACATGCTGCCCTCTCTGAGAGAAAGCCAGGTCAGAGTGGCCTCCACCGGAGTCTGCTCTTTCACTGTGAAGTGAGACTGGGAGTGGAGCCCAGGGTTCTCCTCCTCTCCCCTTCCCATTAATTACTGAGCACCTGCATGACACAGGGGTTTGCCAAGCATGTGATATGACATGGCCAGATGTGCTGGACAGTTATATAAGCAGTTGGCTGTTAGGAAGGGAGGCAAAGCTGGTCATAGCAGTCCGCACATGCAATTCTACCTCCTGGGTGGTAGAGGCAGGATGATAAGTTTAGGCCAGTCTGGGATACTCAGAGAGTTCCAGACCAGGATGGGTAACAGTGAGATCCTGTCTCCACAAATCAAAAAGTGACAGGCATGGTGGCAGATTCCTCCAATCAAAGCACTTGGGAGGTACAGGCAGGCAGAGCTCTGAGTCCATAGACAGCCTGTCCTACATAGCGGGACAAAATAAAATAATTATAATAATACAGAAGGGAGGGAGGGAGATGGAATGGTTATTTTGTATTTGCTGTTACTGAGCTAGCTTTGAGAAAGCAGATGTGGAGAGTGGGCAGCTCTCAGTGCCTTAAGGGCAGGAACAGCCTCCCCATCATACATGGAATACATACAAACATATATACATACATACATACATACATATATGTGTGTGTGTGTATGTGTGTGTATGTGTGTGTGTGTGTATGTATGTCTATACACATACCTTAAGGGTGAGAGCAAACCTCTGTATCATAGATAGATAGATAGATAGATAGATAGATAGATAGATAGATATATGGAACAAGCTTCTGTATCATATATATACACAGACACAGACACATACACACACACACACACACACAGAGACACACACACACACCCCTTAAGGGTGGGAACAGGCCTCCCCATCATATATACATCATATATATACCTGACACCTACTCCACTGCTAGGCATAAAAAGAAAGGACTCAGTGGCTGCTCACAGTGACTCTGATCTTTCCTTCCCTCCCTGCTTTCTTCCCTCAAGGTTTTTGTTATTGTTTGTTTGGATTTGATTTGACTTGATTTGATTTGATTTGATTTGATTTGAGACAGGGGCTCACTGTAGCCTTGGCTGGCCTTGAGCTCAGAGATGTGTGATTCTGCTTCCCAAGTGTTGGGATTAAAAGCTTGTGCCACCGAAGCCTGGCCTATGCTCTTCCTTTGGTCTACACGGACCCCTTTTAAGTCAGTATATTGCATCATACATGCAATCCTATCATTCAGGACACTTGAGGCAGGTGATTATGAGTTCCAGGCCAACCTAAGACCTTGTTTCAGAAAAACAAAATAAAAACTCTTTTAACCATGAGATGAGGGGCTCCCCCAGAACAAGGACCAGGCTGGGTACTCTGAGTGGCACCGCCCACCTCCATGCACAAGGCTGTTTCTGCTCCAGTTCCATCTGCTGTGTCCTGTGGGGAAGTGGTCACCTCAAGTCTAGGGTACTCTTCCTGATGCTATGTGGGCCCAGTTCCTATAGTTGCCTAATGATAACTAAGGCTTAGAATCACATCAAACCCTTTAGGGTGATCAGTGTCAGCATGAACAATATCCAAGGACAGGGTCTGACTCTTGGAGCTTTGGTAGCATCTTGGATCAGGGTTGAGGGTGGTGTTGCAGGCCTGCCCTAAGGCTGGGATGGATACTCTAGGCCGCAGACATCAACTCCAAATCTCAGATACGTTCACAGCTTGGGGATTTAATCTCCACTCTCCTGCATAAAGTCAGTGTGGGAATTTTGTATCCAGCCCTAGCTGGCTGTCATGGCCAGGATCTCCGCTCCCGGCAGGCTCTTGATATGACTTTGGGGTTTAAGATCCGTCATTCAGCTCCATCTTTCTTCTGGACTTGGAGATGCCCATGTATGATGGGAAGTAAGTCAGTGCTGGGGAGGGGGCTCCTGAAGCTAGCCCCTGTTCCCTTCCAGCCCCTCCACCAACATTCCAAGTTCAAGGAGCTCACCCGGGCAGTTCAGACCATTGAGCTGGAGGAGCCTTGAAGCCTCTGGAACAGCTGTGGGAACCAAGAATCATTATTCCAAACAAAGAGTGGGAAGCAGATTCAATATCCAGGCTATTACCCAGCTGCCCTTGACATGCGGGCCTGTGCTACGCTACCTGTGGAGAGAGGCGATGGGGTGTGCCCAGCTGGCAAGCGCTCTAAGCTGTGTGCTCTGGCCCCTCCCTGGGTGTCTCAGTGTGTTCCTGTGAGGTATTTCAGAGATGGGGGTGGGGCCCAGAACAGGCTCTGCTCCTTGCTTTGCCTTCCTTGTATATGTCTATATGCCTGTAGCCCAGACTTAACCAAGTATACCAGAAATCTCAGGTATGTCTTGGCTAGGTCACTAGTTTCATTCGTTGAGTTTTCATTTCTTTGGTTGGGGAGCTGTTAATGGCTGCCTCCTCTCCACCCATGCCTTAGCTGCTACTCCAGCCTACTGGGCCCTGACTTTCGATCTTATCAAATGGAGAAGGAGCAGGGAGAGGAGGATCGGACCTGGAGTGAGTGTGTCTCCGAGAGTATAGGGGAGGGGTCTACTGCACCTAGAGTAGCACCTTAGCCAGCTCCATATGATCCCCCACCCCAGATATCACTGCCAAGCCCAAGATCTACTCACTGTGCTCAGGAACGGGATGTTAAATGCACTGCCCAGGAAGCCAAACACTACAGGGAAAAAGCCCCTAGGAATTAGAAGAGAGGACAGGGGTCAGTGATGGCCTAGGAGGGGAGGGGTAAGGTAGCTCCTACTCAAAGGCTCAGACTTTGTCTCCTCTGAGAGCAGCCACTAGACCCTGGGCTCTGTGGAAAGGGGCAGCAGAGTAAAGTGGATGAGAAGCAGGCTGGAGCCCAGGCATCTCTCAGTCACACGGAGGCTCTGTC